GACCTCTATTTTTAAAAACTCTTCTTTTAGGAGGTATGAGAAAACATTAGCAACAACTCGATTTGATGTAATTATTTTTCCCTTTTACTTAAAAACATAATACAACTGCCAGATAGAATAATTTCTTATTTTTTGGTATATCAGAAAGAGAACTATCTTATAAACATATTTAAAGCACATGATGAAAATGAAAGATTTAAAAAAAAAAAAAAAAACGTTTAGAGTCTATTTTCTTTGTGCAGGTACCAGATGTTGATGTTGGCAGTGCTTAAGAGGGTCACAGGGCATTTAAAATCACTAGGCTGTGGGGAATAAAATTCCAGGTCTGTTGCACCGAAAATTATTTAAAACTTGTGTTTACTCAACAGTAAGTAGTACAAAAGTACTTTTTCTATGTGAGCCCTTCTTAAATAGTACCTTAAAAATACATGATCAATGAAATTGCTACGAAACATATTTATGTTCCAGTGGTCCTCTTAGCATTTCAGAGGTCACTAGTTCCACTTAAATATCTTATTTTTCAATGTGAAAAGCAGATCATTCTTCAGTTGGCCTTACTTTTGAGCTATTCATTTCAAGTTATAGAGGACAGCGGCTGTGCTACTTGGCTGTATACTCGTGCAGAAAAGACATGTATAACATACTTAGATAATATTTCCTTTGTATCCTCTAGAAGCTTACTTTTGAGAAGGAAACAGGACCTTTTGCTTTTCCTGCTCCCCCATATGGAGTTTCTTCTTGGGTGAGTGAAAGTTCTTCTCTCAGTGATATAATAATTAGGGTTAATAGTTTCACTGAAAAAATAGAATTTTAGAGTAAAAAAGGTCCAGAAAATAAAACAAGTTCTTATAATGGTATCTCATTGTGCTCAATATAGATTATTATTTCTTCTGATTTTGTGGATGTTGCACTAGAACAAGTTAGATGCTAACACTTCTTGGCTTTCTCAAAGGATTTTTTTATGCATTTTTTTGCTGTAGTTAGCATCAAGATTTTACTCATGAAATTTCAGTTAATTCTATAAATACAATGGAATTAATTTCTTCTAGAAATTATTCTTCTTGCCCTTTTTGTTACTGCCTGACCAAAGTGATACTTCCTTTTCTTATAGAAATAAGTATTTCAAATCCAGCTGTCAGGGGAAAAAAGACTGGAAGGAAAAAGGCCAATACTATCAGTCATTTTCTCTGAGATTATCATTAATTTCTGCTTCTTTACATTTGGCTACACTTTTCGGATTATCTACAGCTAAAATATATTACTTGGGGAGTTATTAAATGAAAAGTACATGTGTGTACTTGCAGATTTTGATGTGCCTAAGGAGTTGAAGGTTGCCAGTTCTAGTTGCAGGTTCCTTGGTTCTATATAGTGGAACAACGTGCATGTGGTCTGTACAGTTGTGTGTCAATCAGCAATGGGAAGACTTCAGAATACCAAGTCATGATTGCGTGAACATGGTAGAATGTACTGTATACCTAGGTATGCCTGCTACATACCTAGGTTACATAGATATAGTCTGTTGCTCTTAAGCTGCATACCTTGGCAACATGTTACCGCACTGAATACCATAGGCAATATCTGTGTCTCTAAGTACAGAAAAAGGTGCAGTAAAAATACAGAATAAAAGATTTTTAAAAATGGTATACCTGTGTAGGACACTTAATGTGAATGAAGCTTGCAGAACTGGAAGTTGTTTTGGGTGAGTGAGTGAGTGGTGAGTGAATGTGAAGGCCTGGAACATTACTATAAACTGCAGAATTTATAGACACTGTACAACTTAGGCTACACTAAAACTATAAAAATTATTTCTTTAATAATTATCTGTGGCTTACTGCAAATTTTTTTAAATTATAAACTTTTTATTTTTTTTAAATTTTGACTCTTGTAATGATACACAGCTTAAAACACAAACATAGCTGGGCCAGTAGTGCTCATAATCTCAGCAATTTGGGAGGTTGAGGCAGGAGGATCATGAGTTAGTTCAAAGCCAGCCTCAGCAACTTAGCAAGGCCTTAAGCAACTTAGGTAGACCCTGTCTCAAAAAGAAAAATATAAAAAGGGCTGTGGATGTGCTATCCCACTCCTCAGTCTATACCAAATGACCTAAAAACAGCATACTGCAGGGACACATCCAAATCAATGTTTATAGCAGCATAATTCACAATAGGTAAATTGTGGAACCAACCTAGATGCCCTTCAGTTGATGAGTGGATAAAGAAAATGTGGTATATATACAAAGTGAAATATTATTCAGCATTAAAAGAGAATAAAATCATGGCATTTGCAGGTAAATGGATGGAGCTGGAGAATGTAATGCTAAATGAAATTAGCCAATTCCAAAAAACCAAATACTGGATAATTTCTCTGATTTAAGGATGCTGATTCATAATATGCTGCAATGTGGAGGGGTGGGGGTGGGGTGGGAGGATTAAATGAACTCTAAATAGGGCAAAGGAGAAAAGGGGAGGGAGGGGAAGAGAGGGAGCATAGGGGTAGGAAAGACATTGGAATGCGTTGGTTATCATTACCCTAAGTACATGTATGAAGACATGAAAGATATGACTCTACTTTGTGTACAACCAGAGATATGAAAAATTATGAATTGTAAAGCATTCTGTTGTCATAGATACCAAATTAAAATTAAAAAAATTTTTAAAAAATTGCACCTTAAAAAAAAAAGGTGGGGCTGGGGATGTGGCTCAGTGGTTAAGCGCCCCTGGGTTCAATCCCCAGTATCAAAAAACAAACAACCCTCCCCACTTCCCCAAGTATAGTATACATCTATACAAAAAAATTTGTATGTATGTATTATGTATGTGTGTGTGTGTATATATATAAACTTTAAAAAAATTTTAACATTTTTATTTTTTTAAACTTTTTTTGTTAAAAACTAGTATGCAGGGTTGGGAGTGTGGCTCAGTGGTAGAGTGCTCGCCTTACACGTGGGAGGCACTGGGTTTCATCCTCAGCACCACATAAAATTATAATAAAGTGGGGTTGGGGCTGTGGCTCAGCAGTAGTGCACTTTCCTGGCATGTGTGAGGCACTGGGTTCAATTCTCGGCACTACATATAAATAAATAAAGGTCTACCAACAACTGAAATATATATATATATATATATATATATATATATATATATAAAGATAAAATAAAGGTATTATGTCCATCTACAACTAAAACAAAAACAAAAACTAGCATGCAGATATACACATTAGCCTAGGCCTATGCAGCGTCAGAATCATCAATATCTGTGTCTTCCAAGTCCACATTTTGCCCCACTAAAAGGTCTTCATGGGCAATAACACATGGAGACATCCTCTTCTATGATAATAATGTTTTCTGGAATTCCTCCCTGAAGCGCCTGCCTGAGGCTCTTCTTGAGGAGTTCTTTCTCTTTTTAGAAATATGCTCATGGTGGCTTACATGGCTCTTTTTTTTCCCATCATAGATTTGCTTGCAAGCAGATAATGTACCATGAACATTCCTCTCTATTAATGAAAACCATTCCGTTTCAGAGTCTACATTTCCAATACTTTAAGGAGCTTGTTGAGATCTTCAGAAGCTTCTGCTAAAACCCTCCACTGTGAATCTTCTTGGGAGTTGTTGTTCTTTTTCATCTTCTGCAGTTTTTTCCTCATGTCTCTTTTTCAGCCATGTGTTTACTAGATGTTTTTTGGCTTCATCATAGTCTTTGGGACCACCAATGTATATGTTGTTCGTTGTTGACTAAAGCAGTTGTTAGGCAGCATGACTCCACAGCACTCTCGGCCACTTGGTGTTGCATTGGTGGTGGGTATTGTCCTTGATGCCCTACTCGTGAAACTTGCTGGTTTCCCAAGGCAATAGTTGTCTTTCTAACTTAAATGGCAAAAGGGACTCAACATTGATGTCATTATTGCCACTCGGTTCTTCACTTCTACCCTGTATATACATTCTGTGGGCATGTTTTTATTATTATTATTTTTTTTTATTGCTCATCAGTGTAGTTGTGCAATGGAAATGGATTCACAGGGGAGTGCTAGGGAACACTGCAGAGGGATTTCTGATTTTCCTGTATCATGTCTCTGTAGTTAAGTGGGGAATGCAAAACAAACATGAGCCTATTACATGACTGATGCTTACAGCTTTCTAATTCATTAAGGTTTTTTTCTTTTTTCCAGTACTAGGGATAAAATTCAGGACCTCACATATGGTAGGCAAGTGTTCTACCACTGAGCTACATCCCTAACCCTTTCAGAAGGTTCTTAACATGTGAAGTGGGTGCAGTGGTGCATGACCATAATTCCAGAGACTTTGAGACCAAGGCAGGATGATTCCAAGTTGGAGACCAGCCTCAGCAATTTAGCGAAACTCTGTCTCAAAATAAAAAATAAAAAGAATATAGGACTGGGGATGTATCTCAGTGGGGAAGCACTCTTGGGTTCAGTACCCAGTACCAAAAAATAAAACAAAACAACAACAACAACAACAACAACAACAAAAACTTAAAACGGTTCTTTATGTGGTTTTTGAATATTACTTCCAGTTGGAGGAATTCCTTTAAACCATATTATAGTTACTTGGAAAAATCGTTTAGAAATCTAGTATTAGGAGATTGTTGTGTCACAATTTAAATATGACCTTGGGGCTAGTAATTTATCCTCTGAGCTTTGTTATCCTTTTCTGTAAAATGGGAATGCCGATAACATTTTCCATAAAGGTAGCTGAGAGGATATGTGAACATCTCTTGTAAACCCGTATACATTTCATTTATTGACTAAGCTACTCTTGCCAGACTACCTAAATTAGAATGGAGGTGATTTGGATCAAGTCCCTGAGTTCACAGCCTAGAGCCAAATTACATTTGTCCATTCTACTTGGGAGGGGGCATGTCAAAGATGTATGGTTTTAATCTTATTTTTGTGAGAGGCTATGCCTACTTTAACCCCCATAGCTTCCATTAAAAAACTTGAAAATAGTTCATTTTCTATTCCTAATTACTTGGCAGAAATTTAGAATAGAAAGAGAAACTAGTAACAACCAACCTTTCCTTTGCACTTGCAGATCAACAAAAGGGATTCTTGGGTCCTAGAGACCAAAGAAAGAATCAGCAGGAATGCCCAGGGTGAATTGATGGATTGCAGAGCCTGGCTGGTAATTACTTTCACTGAGCTAAAACATTAACTTAATACATGGGAGCAGGGCCAGATGAAAATCAGGATTTGGACCTCTTCCCCCCCCTGTGGATATCCCACACTTCCCTTTTGGAGGCAGCCTTCTCTTTGGTGGGATAGCCCTGCTTCCTTTCCTGAGGCTTGGCATGGATTTCCCCTGCCCCACCCTGGCTGACTAGAGTTCTACCTTTGTTTTCTAGATATGTGAGTGCTTAGGTCAGCCAGCTTTCTGGGGTGGCAAGAAACCACAGTTTCTCGACTATTCAGCCTATGCCTGGTATCAACTGACTTTTCTCATTCGGGGGGTTCAAATTTCTAGCTGGTGAGCTTTAGCTTTTGTTTGTTTTTTTCTCCAGTGCTGGGGATTGAACCACACTGCACACATGCTAGGGAAGCCTTTTGCCACTGAACTACACCCCTAGCCCTAGAGATTTAGCTTTTGGATTTTGGTGACGCATTCTTTTCTCTCTCTCTCTTTCTCTCTCTCTCTTTATTTTCTTTTTTTCTCGTGTGTGTGTGAATCCAGGGGTGCTCTTTACCACCACTGAGCCACATCTTCACCCTTTTTTATTTTTGGTTTTATTATTGTTGTTGTTGCCGATATTGTTTTTTCATCCTTCTTTATTTCATTTTCCATTTTGAGACAGGATCTTGCTACGTTGCCCTGGCTGGCCTTGAATTCACAATGCTCCTAATGCAGCCTTCCTGGTCCCATTTGCCTGTAATCCACCACACCAGGCCTTTTGTAACACTTACCAGAGGCAGACCTAGCTTTAAACTAGGTGATGCTATCATCTTTCGAGACCAAGTGTTTTCATTTTCAAAGCTAGAATGTGTTGATTATTAATGACTTCCTGGTGTACTGTGCTAGGAAAGGTTGTGAAGCCATAATGAAGTTGAAGGACATGATTATGTGGTGATATGTGTTTTCCATGCATTGGGAGGGGCATGTATATTTTCAGATGGGCATCTGATTCATAGTACATGAGAGCTCATTTAATCCACAGTGCTTCCAGCCCAGCTCTTCCACCGTATGGTTGAGAAGGTGGATTTTAGAAAGATAAAGCTATTTTCAAGCCATTAGAGCCAACAATGGGACCTGAACTCAGATTTTCTGAGTTCAAGTGCTTGTTACTTTATGGAGATAAAAAAACATTTGTTACCTTTAAGAAATTTAGAGAGGGTTAAATCCAAAAATTGATATTGAAGGTTAGGAACAGTGACCAACACTGAGACTTCATAACCAAAAATTGCCATTACTCTCATCATCACCATGAGTAACTTCATTACTGCTGCTACCACCATGTGTAAGGAAGTTGGGCAGTTCTCTGTTGGGTGCCATGTTGTAGAAACCCAGCTTTTGCTAACCAGTTAAGCAAGTATTCTACTTCTGACTCTACTTAAGAAATTTCAAGTGTTTAACACTTAACTACCCTAGAGACCCACAAAAGGCATTGATTGAACGTAATTAAATGGTAATTAGCAACCCTAATTTTGTATTTTGTACATTTTTTTGGTGTTTGAGTTGATTATAGCTCTAACATAAAGATTTACCAAATGTGATTATGAATACACTTAAGTCAGTTCTCTTGAAGTAGCAGGCAGTCCAGAATCATGATTCCCTCTTGAACAGTTTACTCTGCTTCCTTGTATCTTTAGACATCTCTATTGAGCATGTGCTGTTTCACATTTTTAAGTATCTTTGTCCTGTTAGCCCAGGACTTTACATTGGAAACTTCAGTTATAAAAGATATTATGATGTGATTATTTGAAAGATCAGACTTTTGTGGAAGTTTTATTGGCACGCAAGTATACTTATATTAGTGGGTAAGAAATGAACATAAAACTACATAAAATATTTAAGAATAAAGAAATTAAGTCAGTCATGCCTTGATTAGATAGTGAGAGGTTAATGCCACTTCATGCCATCCTGGTTCCATTTGTTTTATGTACTAGCTGACCCACTGGCAGTATAACTTGGTGGAATGAACATGGGCTTTGGAGTCCGATTGGTTTGAGGCTCTATTTCAAGAGTTTTGGGATTGGGTGCATTGTCTTTCTTTTTCTTAAATATTTACTTATTTATTTATTTTATTGATTTATTTTTATGTGGTGCTGAGAATTGAACCCAGGGTCCATATGTGCTTGGCGAGCACTCTACCACTGAGCCACAAAACCAGCCCAAGGTGTATTATCTTTTTGAGTTTTAGTTCTCATAAAATTTGGGATGCTATCTCCTTTGCATGGTTTACAAATCCTAAAAGTATTTTGTTCTTGGAGATGCTCAGTAAATGTTAGCTCCTTTTCTCCTCTTAACCACAGGCTTTACCTCCCAACTGCCTTACGTGTTATTTTACAAGGATCAATTCAAGGAATAAAGGAAGTTGGAAAGTTTTAGTTTCGTACTCACATTTCCAGTGGTTTGCCTCTTAAGTCATCTTACTGTAAAGGTCGTGGTTCCTATAAGCCTCACACCCTTGGGAACCAAACTCATGACAGTCATGAAGTGTCCTACTTCAAAGGATGAGAAAACCAAGCAAACCAAAAATCATGCTGTCCTCTCTGGAGCACTGTGTATGAGCATGCCTTTCCCTGGGATCAGCTTGGAACTGTGGATAACAGCATCACCATCACCTCTTGCCGGCAGTGATGTGGAGGGTGAAGAGAACGCTCTGGGGCTGAGCTAGGGTTCTTAATTGAATGGCCGTCTGGCCTTCCCTGAGCATTCTTTTCCCTTCCAGGATTCCTGTAATTGTCATCAGATGGCTCAGTCTCCCAAATGTTTCCGGTATTGCAGTGACTTCTGGAGTGTGTTTAAAAAAAAAAAAAAAGGGCAGAATTAGCAGTCATTATGTGTTTGTGTCTGCTCTGTTGTGTAGATGTGTGCAGACTGGGCATCCCTGAAGAAGAGGAAAAACCAGTCAGGAATGGAGTCCTTTGACTGTCTGCTCTTGCGCCTTCCCTCCTCCTCTGCTCTTTCTTTTCCTCCTGCATTGCTTTAAAGGACTCAAAGAAAAGGAGAGACGCAGGCAACATTCCCACTTCAACTACAGCCAGTCTCCCTTTCAATCTCAGTATTTGTGGGGACCTTCAGAAAGAATCGCATTTTTCTTTAGGTCAGTGAAAGGCCTTGGGGAAAGTTGAGAGTGGAACTGGACAGAGAATGAACCCTAAAGGATGGTTCTCATGCATGAAGGAAAAGGGGACATTGGAGATGGATTCTGAGTTTCACCTGATAATATTCAGATGATGGAAATGATAGCATTAGTTGGCAAAGCAGATGTTTGTGTGGGAACAACAGCCCAAAGCACAGCGGTGGCAAATATGGATGCGTTTGTGGAGGAATGTGTGATACAGTTTAGCTTAATAATAAGAAACATCATAGTTTTGTGTTTGTACTTTATAAAGGGATCAGCGTAATGATTCCAATTTCAGGATGAATGTTGTCTGTAAAGTTGAGATATAGAAAGAATGGTCCATGTACCCAAAGAGGGTTTGGCATCCTATGTGTCTTAAGGTATTTGAATTTTTCCCTTCACCATAAGCTGAAAAGCACAAACACAAGATGTCTTGCATGTGTGTGTGTGTGTGTGTGTGTGTGTATGTGTATGTGTATTTGTATTTTTTCTTCCTTCAATCAAATAACTTGACCCTGACACTGCTTTTCAAGGAAGGGGAAAAATTGCCTAAATGAGAAAGGACAGCTAATTAAAAAAAAAAAAAAGAAAAGAAAAGGTGATTGACAGAACTAAACTCGTGTCTTACTCCCCCACTCCCCCTTCTCCCAATTCCCTAAGCAGAAACTGACAAGAGAGGTGAGGATAGGTAAGATTGTTCAACTACATCATGTTGGAAGGCATAAAGTTGAAGAGAACTTAGACTATTTCTTCTGATTCTAGCTGTTGGCTGAGAAATTGTACATTTTAAAATGTGCTTTGATCTACTGGCTTTTACTCACCTAACAAGTAAAATAGTTCACTGCCTTTTGGTGCCCAAGTTTGTCTAGTGGTGGAGTGTTCTCTTAGCCAGCTCCAGATAGTGGTATTAACTGTGGTGCTTCCTCATATGAAGCAGCCCTTTCATAGTTGTTACGTGGCATTTTGAAATAATTGAGGTAAATACTAATGCGTTACCTAAAAATACTGATGTCATCTGTCCCACATCTCTTTTTCCAGATGACTGGGGGTGGAAGGTGGGAACAGAAAGACCTTGATCTCAGCAAGGAAGATAAGAGAAATCTCATGATCAATAAAAAAAAAAAATCAGTAATGATAATTGTATTCCCTTAGCAGTGATTGGTTGTGTGAGCAGGGATGTAGCCAAGTCAAGGCCTATAATTTGTAAGAGGAAGACTGCCGGGAGTGGGATAGTGAAAGTTTTCCATGTGGAATGAAAAACAAATGACTGCTTGGAATGTGGCTGTGATGCTCAGAGAGGCAGTGGGCCAGGCTGGCAGCAGGAGGAGGACACCTGGCAGGAAGAAAGTGGAGCCTGTGACATGGACACCCGGCACTGGGCTCCACCTCTGACTTCTTGTTTTATAATCTGTAACTAAGTCACACAATCCACTCTATATCAGCTAAACAGTTTTCTGTTTCAAGATGGGAAAGGCATGTACCCCTTTTTAGTGGGGTTGAAAACTGGAATTGAACCTTCCCAAAGCAAGTGCTCACCACCCGGGAGACATCTTGCCGACCTCCGCGTTCTCACCGCTGTGACGTCTTGGTGAGGGCTGTGATGGGCAGACAGAGTTGATGTTTGGTTTGTCAGTTCGTTTCTGTTGTGTATAAATCGGGCGCTCTTTGCTGAGGCATCTTATTTCTACTTTGGCTCGTTATGATTGATCATAAGAGAAAGAAGACTGTGAAGTATTGAGAAATAACCTAAAAAAACGTGGTGTTGTTAGAGTGGTTGTTCAGTTTTCACAGTTAGGTTTGTTTTGGAGTCTGACTTTGTTGACAGTTCTGTTATTATATGAAA